AGACGCTGGCGTCGACGTCACTTTGCCAGCCGGCGGTCCCAAAGGTCAACATTGCCGCGGCGATCGCTGACGAAAAGGCCCGACTTGGTCTGACAGCCGTGGGGGTAAATGTCAAAAGAGGCTTCCAAGCAGGTGGGAAGAGGACAGAGTCCAGAGGGAGAAGAAAACAACAACACAGAAACAATCAAAGAATTCCAGTCAGGCACAAACGTGACAGCTGAGAGCCCCGATGATGATGATGATGGTGGGCCAGTGAAGATCCCAGATGGCTGTAATGTCACTACAGAATGGGTCAGCTGACTTCTCCGTCCACAGCTGACATCCTCGTGTTAGTTCATTGCGTCGCTGCTTAGGACCTCGCACACCCGCTCTCTGAAAACAGATTTAAACACGACACACTGGAAAAGACGGCAAAAGCCTCGTGACCGGCAGCCCGACCGGGAACATCTACTCCCGTCCCACTATGACCTTCCTCCTTTCGCTGAAGTGTTTTTGTCTTTTTTCTTCTTCTTTTTTTAATCTATTGCACATTTCCTCGTGGGTTCAGAACGAAAGAAAAAAAGAGGAAATAAGAAAAACGAAGTAAAAGCATGAATAAAGATCGATGCTACACAGCTAAACGCAGGCTCGACACAGAACGATTCCCTTGCAAGTAAGTTCAGCTCAATCAAACAAAGCGATATGCAATAATAATAATAATAATAAATGTGCTGGAGCGAAATGTTTAGAGTGATTCGACACATTTACATAATGCCTTCGTCTCAAAGGATGGGGCCTGTCAGCACCCAGACGGTTACTGGTTTTATTTATAGGTCCATACATCAGTGATTTTATTACCATCACAGGACACGCTGAGGGTTTCTGTGTGAATGAGGGGAACTGTGGAAATAATAATACTATTCATTATAAATATGCTTTTATCAGGCATTATGTAAAGCACAATAAAGATGAAGGAAGTGCCTGTGATTTGCTAAAGCTGCAGCAAACAGCATCGAGAAAAAAATCACTTTTCAGAAACTAAATTCTTGCCCAATGCGAAACAAAATGTGCAATAAAACAGTTTTAGCTGCACTAAGATTAAAAACAAAACAGTTTTTGTGGAGACCAGCAGCGCATTTCTTATTGCACTGAGGTAGGACTGCAGGAAAGCCTCAAAGTCACGTTGTAGTACCTTTCAACTTCCACAAGAGGTCTCCAATTTGACCAAATCTGTCACTGGGAGCAGAACTCATCCTCATGTTTGGAAAATATTAAATAATTACAAAAAAACATATTCAATAAATAACATGCTGAGTTTTTACTGCATCTTTACATTAATGCACCATAAAAGCAGTTTTTAAAGTGCACTAACTCACAAAACAGAACCACTTCGTTCCTCGTTATTGTCGGTGTGCGATCACAGCGAGACCACAAAAACACAAATATGGTTTTGTTAAAATAGATAACTGCGATCTAGCAGGTACTGCACTTTGTTTAATACTATGATACTGTCCAGCAGGAACATAACGAGAAGTTCGTGTTCGTTAGAAAATGTATTTCAGCAGTCTTGAACATCAGCCATCAGAATTTTGAACTTTGACTCCTTTTGGAAGAATTATTTCTACCGTCACATTTCAAACAGTTGCTAATAACAATAAAATACCTACTCTAGTCTCTGTTTAAATCCTAATACTGCACAGCAATATCTGATATTACAATTAACTCGTCACTTCCTTCAAGTGCTTCCAGATACTGATAGAAACCTCGTTTTAGGCAATTTGGTGAAAGTGTGTTACCATTTGTACCGTAAGTAAACGGTAAAATCCCCAAAACTGCCAATGAAGTGATATCTCTCTTTGGTTCGATCACATTTTGGCCTCTAATCTATTCAAATAAATCCCTGGATTAAAGTTATTTCACTACGTTTCCAGTATGCTTGCAATTCATCACCGCGATAGCTGCATTATGACAACACAATATACACAAAATCATTTGTTCCTGGAGCTAAAAGCTGTGCAATGAGGTTATCCTGACGCTTGTATGAGGTCTCATTGTTCCGTTGCTTGTTCTGTATTTTTCAAGTTTCACAGGTTTGTTGGTTTTTTAAAATAAATTTGTTCTCCCAGACGACTACATCCAGGGAAAATAAGATATTTCTGTGGTATCTTTGATAGAAACTGTTTACAGAAACCGAGTGTCAGCCGTCTGTTCTGCCAGAGTCGAGCTTTGGCTCGTCCAATTCAAGGCTGTCGGTGGAAAACAGATGTCACAAGAAAGCAGAAATAATTCTCTAAGGAAGACTTGCATCAACACGAGACACGCTAACAGAAAGAAACTAAAGAGAAGTTGTGATGATGAGATTCAACTATCGTCTTTGTTTGATGACTTTGTGGCGTAAAACAAATAAATCTGGGAACTTGAGTCCCTTCACTCGTGCTTTTCTTTCTTTATCGAACTGAAGACGTCTAAATGCAAACTTTGCGCTTCAAACTCGTAACTTTGTATAGAAACGCTCTCGGTGGTGTTCATAGGACTATGGCACTCTGTAAAGATTTGGTTGATTTACTGGTTTGCCATCCACCATTTAGAACCTTCGTTCAGGTGACCAAATACAAAAGGCACTTATTGGCCATCGTAGTCAGTGATGGGCAGGATGAGCGTAGCCACTACTCTTCTCCGCTTCTGTGTTTCATGACACAAACCTCTTTAAGAGGTCATCGCTCCCAGTTAGACCAGTTTACATGTCAGACACAGCATCCACCTCGAACTTCCTCAACCAGTGTGGCCAATTCCATGTTTCTGTCTCTGCTTCCCAGGTAAAATATTGAAAATTTTCCGACTCCTTTCGTATAAATTTTAGTAAACCAGCACTAAAAGTGTCCTTTTTTATCAGATCGAAACATCTTTCTCCTCACACAGTCTGACCTTATGTCAATTTTCAAGGACATATTGCTTAAGGGAGATTGCGGGTAACATTCTCAAGGAGTAACGCCGCCGCTCAAGGGTCTAGAGCGGGGTATGGGGGCTGGGGGTGGGCGTGGCTACGGATGTAGGCTTGCCTTTATTTTTTCCGCTCAAGGTAGTTAGAGGGGACCCAGCCTTTGCGGGGAACCAGGCTGTCCTGCACCTGGCAGTACCACCACCCATTGGGGTTTCTCTCCAACACCTCCAGACAGGTTCCCTCTGTGAACCCCATGGTCTCCTCGTCGCCATGGTAATCGGCAATGGACACATACACATCCCTGCCAAGGTTGTTGTGGATCAGCTGGCTCTTCTCCAAGGGCTTGGGTCTGACCGTGGACACGGGGATACCGTTGCGTTGGTTAACTCTGCTCAGGGCGTCTTGGACGTTGCTTGTGCTGAACGCGCTCCCCGAAGACAGACTGGAGCGTTCGGCAGGCCTCGTTTGGCTTTCAACAACTACGTGTGGCCGCACGGTGCTGAATGAGGCGTTTCGGCGAACTCCGAGAGTGGCAGAACCGGAACCATAGTGATCGCTCCTGCCCAGTGACTCGTTCCTTCTCAAGGACCCTGTTGTGTAGTGCGCGTCCTTGGCTGGCTGCGTAGTGGTGACAAATACAGACTGAGGCCTCACCGCCACCTGGCGTACCCCGTTCCTCATCCTCACGCCTCCATTAACCATCCCAGATGGCTTCGAGAAGCCGCCGGGAGGCTTGGAAGGAATCGGTGGAGAGTTCCTCCTCAAGCCTTGATGCTGCTGCGTCAGGCCCTGAATATTAATGTTATTGAGGGCCAAAACATGCTGCTCATTCTTCTCCAGGCTGTTGGACTTACTCCCACCACTCCCGTGTCCGTCTAAGCCACCACCGTCGCCCATTTGTCTGACAGCTTCCAGGTAGTATGAGGGAGCCCAGCCTTCTTCGGAGCCCCAACGGATGTACCACCAACCGCTCTCCTGTTTCTCCAAAACCTCGACCTCAGCCCCAGCTGGAAAACTGATCTCGGAGTCCTGGACTTTCTTATAGGCATCCACGGAGCGGTAGAGATTGGGGCCCTCCACATCGGAGTCACCACGGCTTCCTTTGGAGTAAACCGAGGAGAGATCTGAGGTACTGCGTGAACACACCGAGTCCTCTGATGATATAACAGAAGCTGTTTCAGAGTCCTCCCCACGAGAAGGTTTGAGGCTATGTCTAAACTGACTCGTAGGCCTCAGCTGTCGTCTCAGAGAGGTGATGTCCATCCTCTCTGGACTCTGGGGCTCTGATTTGGTCAAAAGGGGCTTAGGTCTGACGGAAGGCTTGGGCCTGGTGGAGGGGCTCTGGCCTATTCTCTGCTCCACCTCCCGGTTGAAGACGGGGCCTTTCTTGGAGCCTCTGCTCAATTCATCTGATGACGAGTGAGGGCTGTTATCCTGGGATCTGAAGCTGATATCTATGTGTCTGCCCAGGGTCTGGCTTCTCCGACTCATCTCTGGTGTCATGGTTTTCATGGGCCTGCCAGGTAAAGGCGAAGATCCGGAGGGTTTTCTTGGGACTGTGGAGGAATGGTAGCTCCGTGGGGAGTTCGGCTCACTGGAACCTTTAGTCACACTGCCGCTCGGCCTGAAGCCATCATTCTCATAGATACACTCCTCCTTAGCAACCTCCTCTACAGACCTGAAGGAGGTTCTTCGATGGGCGAAAACTGGAGATGCCTTGCAGACAGGAGGGGACGCCTTGCAGGAAGGAGGGGAGGCCTTGCAAACGGGAGGGGAGGCCTTGCAGGACGGAGGGGAGGCCTTGCAAACGGGAGGGGAGGCCTTGCAGGACGGAGGGGAGCTGCTGTACTTGTCGCTGACCACACTGTTGATCTTCACATCGCGGGAACGCTCGTCCTTCAGGGGATCCGGTTCAGGCTCACCTTCGCATCCGACTGCAGGAATATCGTATTCAGGTTCTTCGTACACAGCCCTGCTAGGCACCTCTGTGGTTTTGGAGGAAGAGTTAGCAGAAGGCGGAGCCTCCTCAGATTCTTGTTTTTTGACAGGTGGCGCTGGAGGAGGGACTTTGGGGCGGGTCAGTGTGCTGGACCTACGACTGAGGTTGGGCTTTTTGCGCTTGTCGATGTAGGAGCAGGGGGCCCAGCCCTCCATCTCCCCAATCTGCACGTACCACCAGCCTCCAGGATTCTTCTCTATTACCTGCACAACAAGGAGTAAAGAGTTACTAGAACAAATACTCACTTATATA